TTTTTTTTTTTGCTGCAAAGAAAATATAGAATCAAATGGTACTCTTTTTTTTTTCAGATTGTTCATGAAAAAGAAATTCAAGCAGAAGACGACCAGGTGTTTTTGGTAAAGCTGCAGGTCAGAAATCATTTTTTGCTCGCGKGTGCACAAATTAAATCTAACTTGAGGGTCTTGATATGTTAATTAAGTACTAATTGGAGTGAATGTGCATATTGTGCTCTCATTTGCAGTCGCTGCTTGCCAAACAGCCCGCTGTAACAGCAGGGCGACCGGTGGTAAGTGTGTTTTTTTGTTTTGTTTTGTTTTTCTTCCCCACGTCTTCAAGTTTTGGCTCTTGAGATGAAAGAAAATCTGCCTTCAGTGTGCGCATGTCTGAAAGAAACTGTTGTGATTTGTAGGACACCACTAGCAGGGCACCCACTGGCTCCCCGCGGACGAGTAATCGCTCTGCAGCGGCCAACGTAGCAAACGCCATGCCGCAGTCAGGTACTCGCACATCCCTGCACCTCTGCCTCTGCTCTTTACGTGCTCTTTAACTGCAGTGCCTTCATGCTGCAGGTCAAACAAGCGAGGGTGTGCTGGCCAACTTCTTCAACAGTCTACTGACAAAGAAAGCAGGGACGGGGGGGCCTGGGACACCAGGTGGTGGGAACAACACTCCAGGAACTGTACGGAAGTCGGGTGAGAACTGTTCGCTGTGCTCTGCCTTTAGTAGTGTTGTGCAGTTGTTTCTGAGGACATATTTAGTGACACCTCATCACTTAGGCTTCTGTTTGCCCCCCTTCCCATCATCCACTCCAGACATGAGCAAAACTCTTACAAGAAACTAAGACTTATTCTACGTAGGGAAAATATTAGCATCACTTTTTTTTGTTTGTTTGTAGCTTTGTCAGAATGTCTTCACCTGAACCACGCCCATAGTTCGTTGTGCAGTCTCACTKTTAACTTCATTCATTATATATATATGTGTGTGTCTGTGTGTGTGTGCGTGCATTAGTCAGAGGATGCTGGCCCCGGTAAGGTGTGTGTGAGCAAGATATATTTCATCTTTATCGCTCGTCTTTAAACTTTTTATTGTTTTGACCCCATCCTCCTTTGGAGCCCCAACCTTTTCCAGCATCCTAAGAGCCTTTTGTGTCAGCTGTTTTACTTCTTGCCACAAAATAGCATTCAGCTGGACATTAAATGCTATGTCTCATTTCATATTTTAATTGCCAGTTTGTTGAGTTTATAACAGAATAGGTTTACTGATTTTTTTTTTTTTGCATGTAAGGGTTAGCAACAGGAAGGCCAAAAACTGATTACTTGAGACTGTTGCGTCTTTCCCTATGCGTTACCTTGCCTCCCTTTCACTCCKAAATTCATTTTTCCAGTTTTATTTGAAAGATTTTTTTTTTTTATTTCTTGGCATGTTGTGTTGCATTTCCCATCACTAACCTCTGCAACAATCAATGCACGTGATTCTAACAAAGGCTGGGGAGTTCGAAAGTGTCTGGATGTAATTTGGAGYTATGCTTGACAAAATAAAAGTCTGTGTTCAGATTTATATTTTGTGACATTTCTAGAACACTCAAAAATAAACCCTTTTAAATATCACAAGTTTAAGATTGAGCAACAACTAAAACCTTTTAGTTTTTAGAATTTGTTTCTTACTCATTTTTCTTGAGTTGTGTTCACTTTTGAAGTCTATCTAATGAACATTAGTGTTTAGGTTAGCGACTTTTGAGGCCATTCTAAGCCTTTGTTCGTGGCAACTGCTTGACTGTGCGACATTGTTATCACCTTGAGGCATTCTTCAGCAGACAAGATGCGTGCAGCTTAGAGTTTTGTGACCGTGCCAACAATGAAAATCCCATTCAAAAGGTGGCACCAAACACACAACATAGAAAACTGCAAAGTCCAGCTTTGTGCAAAAGAAGTAAAACAAGATGAACGTTAGTTTTGGCGTTAAAATATTTGATGCCATCCACGTTTGAATAATTCAACACTCAGGGACACACGAGGATCTGAATACTGTGTCAARTTTCTTGTGAGAACTGTCCAACTTCTTTTGAAAAAGACGGTGAAGGAGTGCATTATTCCCACCTGTAGGCTGTAGTGAAAAAATGGAGACTTCTGAATGAAAAGCCATGAAGCTGATTCACAAACAGCACAAAAACAAGCGTCAGAAATTTTGAGCCTATTTGAAAAATTGGGAAACCACCATAATTAGTCATGGGTTGGGGGATTCATAAAATAAATTAAACTAAAAATGTAATTGAGTGCTTCTATGAAAAAAGTCATCTGGCAGCAAGTCAAATATAAATAGCGTTGTTACACTTCAATATAGGAAATAGCAGAGATCCGGTTAGAACAAAAAACTAAAACAAAAGAGTCAAAAAGCACCAGGCTTGTTTTTCATTTGCAAACTTGTGGGAAGAAAGATTGTGTTTTTTATGCAAAGTCTGCTAAATCCTCCACTTCTTTTTGGAGTTTACWTATTTTGTTAACCTCAGCATGACGTCTATTTCTGTTTTGCTTCTTTTGTAAAAAAAAAAAAATGCTTTGTGAGCAACAACATTTTTTATTCATATACAGGAAGCTAGAGAAGTGATGAGAGGAGAAATGGTTAAACTTTCACTGGCTTCTTCTGCATATGAATGCATACGTCTTTCATTCAGAGTTAGAATGAAAGAATATTCATTTAAGATTTGTATAAATCTGTAACATTAATTGTTTTATCGAAATAGGAATAAGCTTAAAAAAGACTAATAAAACAATAATCCTTTCAAAGTTAAATACATTTAGCCATATTGTAGTATAGAGTCTTGCGAATTTCTCCTACAGTTCTTAGTTTATTTTTGTCAGTAGCTCCTGTTTTCCTGAACATCAGCACAAGTAGAACGGCCACGCTTTCTTTTGCAAATGAGATGAGACACAATGAGACCACCGAAAACGCTGCAGCCTTCTGAAATGTTCGCAATAAATAGAAAACTGGCCTAATTAACAATACAGACGTTGTGCAAGTGTTTATATTCATTCATTTTTAATGATAATCACTGTTTCTCCCGGCACTTATTTTAATCATGTGCACATGCTTTTGTGCTCATTGCATTATGGCTGAAAATGTTCGTCGCCCTGGCTAAGCTGCTTTGTAGCGCGTTGTCTTTTGGTTTTTGCGTTCCCCTGCTAAAGCACTAATCGGCGTCATTTTCAGGTTCAAAGCTGGGCCTGAGTGACGTCCAGGCAGAGCTGGACCGCATCTCCAGCCGGGAAGCTGACTCAGACTTGTCCAATGCCAACGACGCCCCTGCCACAGATGGCCAGGACACATGAAGACCAACGCACTCCGTTCCTGCTCCCCTTCTCTCCCCCGCCTCAGTCACTGTCCACCTCCCCCTGTTTTTTCTTTTTGTCCCCTCCACCTTTAACGTAAAGAAACAAAGGTGGACATACAGTGGTGTGCAAGTGTTTGCCGCCTTCCTGATTTCTTCTAGTTTGTCACACTTAAATGTTTCRGATCAAACAAATTTAAAAATGAGACAAATATAACACAAAATGCAGTTCATAAATGAAGGTCTTTATTATTAAGGGAAACAGAAATCCAAACATACAGGGGAGAAGGGGGCAAACACACCTTCATGCCACTGTACATTTGTCACTTTCTTCTTGAGAAGAACTCAACGTTTCTTACCCGCCCCCCCATGCCTTCCTTCACCTACACCTTCCCCTGCCTCCTTTTTGCGGCTGTTACACCAAGGAGAAATATTCATCACTGTTACATGCAAGACTGTCTGTTACATGAAAGTACATGTAAAAGGATAAAGGGGACCACTGGAGGGAATGAGAAGCAGCAAGAGGAGTGACTGCAAGAATGAAAGTCAGGGTGTTTTATCCATCCATTTATTGTGATGGTACAGTTAGTGTTTTTACTGTAGAGCGCATGTTGGAAGAAACTGCACTTAGACAATAGAGGGAAGACTGTGTGCTTAATGTGTGTGAGGCGACTCGTACTTGACTGGAGGAAGAGATCGAGAACAAAAAAGGAAAAAAAAAACTGAAACAAAACATGCAATTTTTTTTTAATATGAAGGGAAAATTGACCAGTATTTGTGTGCGTGCGCGTATTTGTCTGTGTGAGTGTGTGTGCGCGTGTGTGTGTGTGGTGCAAAAGTGAAGGGAAGTTTCCACCTAGCCCCATTTGACTATAGATTCTGGGCGGTCTGCATTACAACCAAATGGCAACAAGCATTACCATATTCATACACTACAGAAGTGTGCACACTATTAATACACCAGCAGCATCTGCTCGACTACACACCAAACATGTCTGAAATATACAACAAATGAAACCTGTTGCTCAAGCATTAAGGTTCATTGTGGTACCCTGTTCTGTAATTGGCCAGAGACTCCTTATGTGGTACTGCATTGAGTTCAAACCTGTGCACTGGATAGGGAGGGGATATTAGAGGGTGGGTAACTGAGATTCACGTGTACAGAAAAAAATAACACTAGAAAATTACATAGTTACTGCTGACGGGGGTGGTGGGTTAGAATATGGGAGGGTCACCAAGAATGTACAGTCATTGTCTCGCTGATTGGTCCTGTTATTTCAGAGCTCTGTGTTGGCGTTTGTATAGTCAGATCTGTCAATCAGTCAAATAAAAAGGTGTATTTATTTGGATTCACCTGGCTTCGCCTTTTTTAAATGCCTCTCACTATAAATAAAAGTGCATAATTGTTAAGATCAGTCAAGTCTGCTGACATGAAGCTCCTTTTAGGTAACTGATTGTGGTGAAGAGCGTGAATTCTGGAAGAACGTAACAAAGTTCAAGAGTTTGAACGATGAGTCACCAGCCAAACTGTGATGTTCTTGCAACTTTTTTAAAAATGTCACTTTTTGCACTTGTCAAGATGTAACCAACACCGTCATTGGCCACAAAGGTTCATCATTCAATCTGTTTAATCCAATATGAGCGCTACTGTCTTTTGAGTATCCACTAGCAAGAAAGTCGGCCACAGAATGAAACCACAGGTTTTGTGAAAACACCAAAACACCAAAAACATAAACCAAGAAAACTAAATGGCTGCTTAATGCCAGCCAACGCAGTACAGCTCTGCAGGTTTAATAAATATATAAATTGATAGGTCATATGTGTTCGAGCTGGGCATAATGTTATGGCTGATTTGTATGAATTCTTTCAAACGCTGCATGACCAACTGCAAAGAGTGCAAACTGTAGCTGTGCCATTTATAGCTGTTCCTGGTTGTCATCCTGATTTTCTTGATGCTATCTCGCAGATGGAACTGGGACAGTGGCTGAAGCTTTTTATAGTATTACTCCAAAGTGTTGATATCAGCAGCTGGCACAGAAAATAGTTTTTTTTAAACAAACATTTAAAAATCTTTAAAAATAAATAAATAAAACACCATTGCGGTCTGGCTCCTGATAATCTAAGTGTGTTTGCATTTCCTGCAGTCACATCGATGTGTTTCTCAACAACAACAATTTGGACTTTGACCTTTTCTGGCCTGTGCTGTGTAGCCTACAGAAGAACATGCATAACATCTGCTGTTTGTTTGTTCCAACTAAACTTAATGTTGTTTAATTGTAATTTGTGTTTCCGTTGCTAAAAAAAAAAAATTCCCAACCAAATGTTGACCATAAAAGAGAACAAAACTGAGTTTTGCCATTTATAAAACAAGCCCATGTTTTCCCATGTTCAAGTGTGTGGAATGCAGCATTAACTCTTGTATAATTTCATTAGTCTAAATTTATTGTTTGATCCTTCATCATATTATGGAAAATGTTAAATCAAAGCAGCTGATAATTTTCATTTTTTTAAATTCACTTAATTTTAACACAGCTTCCACTTGAAAATGATTGAAGTTGTAATGCTGAACTACTGTTTTTTTTATTTGATTTTAAGAAAGCATTACTATCTAAAAATCTTTTTAAATAGTTGTGTCTGTGCTAAAACTTATTGTATTTGAAATGAGACGCTCTACTTTTCCGAGTGCGGCAGAATACTGTCTTTTCTACCTTCGCCATCTTGACGTTCGATCGTACAGGCGGAAGCAACATCTTCGGCGGAGCAGCAGCGGGTGTGGTTCGGATTAGGACGGGTGGTTCACCTAGCAGTCCTTTTACTATTTTCAGCCACGAGAAAGGAAAATTTTCGCCTGACAAAAACCACGGAGGACCCGCTGGACTTTGGTAAGAGGCTGCCTGTTTAGTGAAGACATCGTGTGGGGCGTTTGCGGTGTGCCAATGCCTGCTTTTCCAAAGGAAARTCATCTTTGGCTAAGGAGGGGTGCTCCGGTGGGGTTTTGGCTGGCAGCTTAGCAGGTTTTGTACGGTGGCGCCTGGATCTACTTTTTATACGTCTTTATACGCTAATCACACCTGAATTAAAGATCTAAGGGATCGCTTCAGTGTCACGATTCCAACAATAAAGTGTATCTTTTACCTGGGATAAATTTAGAACAAGTCGCACGGACTGTTAACCAATTATCCTAACCCTGAATCGCTGATTGTTTATGTTAGCTAGTTAGCTAACTAACGGGAAGGTTAGCTGCGCACGTTAGGTTAGCTTACGAGATAAGCTAGCCAACCTGTTAGCTGACTGGGGGTGGCTAATTGATGCTAGCGCCCTCCTGTTTTGAATTACACATGCTGATAGATATTAAAAGGGTTTAAGCTGTTGTCCCTTAGCTGGACATTTTACTTGTCTGTTAAGCCAGTTTGTTATTCTGTTAGTTGGAACCACCACGAGAGGAGGAGTCATGGAAGTGATTGCGGGCGGAGGGGGTGGTGTGTCTCATTGGAAACCCAAGCAGCAGCTAGGTCGGAACTTGGTCGTGGTAGGGGGAGGGGGGGGGAGAAATATGCCTTTGATGTTGTATGCCGCTGAATGGTGAATTGTGTTCGTGCTGGCCCTGGAAATACCCACCGCTTTGCTCTCTCTGTTTGAGGTGGAGGCTCTCGGCATTTCCCCTCACGTATCTACGTTAGCTAGCCAAACAAGCGAATAGGGATTTTGTTGAAGGTAGAGCAGCAAATCAAGAAAGCGGCGATTTCATTGAAAAGCGACCTAAAAATCAAGTTTAGGCCCTTTTCACTAAATTGGCTAAGTTTAAGTTGTCTTAACCGTGTACTTTTTTTCTTTCTTTCTTTCTTTTCCAGACAGATCTGCTGTGCGGACTGAGGGCAGGCAAGAACAATGGCTACCCAGTGTGAGTCTTAAAAACAACAATTTTCTGCTTTTTATACTTCCTGCATCACCTTGATTTCGATTTGATCTCTGTATCTATGTAAATTAGTTATGTAACATTTGAGACTTTGTGGATTCTAAGGACAGCTCAATAGTTTTCATAAATGTTTCAAGTTGTTTGTTCTTGTCAGGAAATACAGTATCAGAGGAACATCTTTGGAAATTGTTGTTTACATTCTTTAACATGGAACCACCTTATTATGAAAGATAAGAGGTGCCAAGGAACATTTTTTACCCATCCAGTTTTTGTTTTGCGTCTGTATTATATATACCTGTCTCTGTTTATGAGTAATGCAAGCCATGCTGATGAAGTCTACCAAGCAGACCAGCCACAGGCATTACTCAAACTTTGAGGGGGGTGAAGATTACTCTGCTTGTGATATTACTAATGTTTTTTTCTCTTTTTGTCTACCTTTTGAAGCTGATTTGATGGAGCTGGACATGGCTATGGGTGACAGCAAGGCTGCTGTGAACCAGTGGCAGCAGCAGTCCTATCTGGATTCAGGCATCCAGTCAGGCGTCACCACCACAGCACCATCTTTAAGTGGCAAGGGCAACCCTGACGCTGAGGAGGAGGATCCAACTCTGTATGACTGGGAGTTCAGTCAGCCTTTCACTCCTGAGGCTACAGGTATGAGATTCACAAATGAGGCAAGATAAAATATTGTTGAATATTTTGTCAACATCAACTTAAAATCCTTGCAGTAAACTTGATGACTAAGGGATAAATGATTTGACAGAAAAACAGGGAAAGAATCATAATGAGTTTTCCCTTCTCATAAATAACAGATATTTTAGTGAGATATTAGATTTTTATGGCCTCATACTGTTTCTTTTTTATTGCTTTCAGACATTGAGGGTTATGCCATGACTCGGGCCCAGCGTGTGCGTGCTGCTATGTTTCCTGAGACATTGGAAGAGGGCTTACAGATCCCACCCACCCAGCTGGATGCTGCCAATCCAACAGCAGTACAACGTCTGGCAGAGCCCTCTCAGATGCTGAAGCATGCTGTGGTCAACCTCATTAACTATCAAGATGATGCTGAGCTGGCCACTCGAGCCATACCTGAACTTACTAAACTGCTTAATGACGAAGACCAGGTATGGGAACAAAAATCGAAATGATCACTTGAACAAGTACCAGATGATTACTTTGGTACATTGATGCAAAACAATTTCTATTCTCCTCTTGACCTTCCGCCTCCTAACAAATACCAATTATATCTTAGGTCGTTGTGAATAAAGCCGCCGTAATGGTGCATCAGTTGTCGAAGAAGGAGGCGTCACGTCATGCCCTCATGCGTTCGCCGCAAATGGTTTCCGCAGTTGTTCGCGCCATGCAGAACACCGGTGATGTGGAGACTGCTCGTTGCTCCGCTGGCACCTTGCACAACCTTTCCCACCATCGTGAGGGGCTCCTCGCAATCTTTAAATCTGGTGGCATCCCAGCCTTGGTCAAGATGTTGGGGTGAGATAGCGGTACTAGTTACTTATATGAATGGTGAAAGAATGTCTGGTTTAAGGGAAGAATGCGCTTAACTTTGGACTTTTTTAATAGGATTTATTGTGGCAGAAATGTTGTGGTTTGAAATGAACAATAATTTTTAGTATCTTGTATTTGTGTTGTTTATGGTTATGTTTTAACTTTTTTTTCCCCGGCTCAAAACTCAAAATTCTTATATGTTCAACTGAAAGCACYATACAGTACTGCAATTACAGGCGGTGTACTAATATTCTGGTAGGGCTGGGTTATGTGACCAAAAAAAAAAACTCACATTTTTTCATCACAAATTAGATTTTTGATTTTAATCGATTTTGGTTCCTACTTAACGGAGTGCCTCTGTTTCAGGTGTTGAAACAAATTTGTTGTACTCCTGCATTTTGTAGCAAGAGCATTTAAACCAATTTTGCAGTGAGGTGTTTGTTGTTCTAAGTCTGAGTTTGCAAAACCTAACCAATTCCAGAAAACTGAAGAAACAGTGTCTTTTTTTATGAAGATCCTCTTTGCTAGCTGCCATATTGTCATGTTGTGTACCAAGCGTCTCGAGGGCCAGGTGGGGTGACCTCTGAACTACAGAAGCCCCAAAGTGTGCGCTGGTGGGAAAAAAAAATCATATTTTCCCAAAATTAAATCTTTTATAAACAGCAAATTCTAATTAATTGATTATATCGATTTATCGCCCAGCCCTATATTCTGGCTTATTTTAATCATCAGATAAGCAGCAACTTAACCAACTAAATTTCCTGTTGAATGAAATGCTTCAAACAGCAATCTGAAAACTGTGAAGACGAGCACAAAAAATGAAGGCCTTTGCTTTTTGTTTGAGATGTTTCCTATTAATGTGAAAACACAAAAGTCCACAGCTTTAGTTTTGATCTTACAGTCATTTTGTTACTTAGCAGGTGAGGAAAAA